CTTTGTTGGCTAATACTGGCTTCACAGAATGAGTTAGGAGCTATTTTCTCCTTTTCTATAGTTTGAAAGAGTTTGAAGATTGATGTTATTCTTTAAATGTTTGGTAGAATTTGCCACTGAAGCCATCTGGTCCTAGGCTTTTCTTTGTTGAAAGTGTTTTGATTGCTGATTTAATATCCTTATTTGTTACAGATCTATTCAGATTTTATGTTTCTTCTTGAGTCAAGTTTGATAGCTTGTGTGTTCCTAGGAATTTGTCAGTTCCAATGTAGGTAACCTAATTTGTTGAAGTGCAATTGTTCATAGTATTCTCTTATAATCCTTTTCATTCCTGTGAAGTAAGTAGTAATGCATGCACTTTCATTTCTAATTTTAGAAATTTTAGTCTTCCCTCGTTTTTCTTGATCAGTCTAGCTACAGGTTTGTTAATTTTTGTTGATCATTTCAAACAAACCTACTTTTTAGTTTTTTTATTATGGTAAAATATACATAACACAAAAATTACCATTTTAACCATTTTAAGTGCACAGTTCTATAGCATTAAGTGCATCACCATCCACCTCCTTTAAAAAAAGAAAAAGAATTTTTCTTTTTTAAAGATTTTATTTATTTACTTGAGAGAGAAAGAGCATGAGCGGGTGGAAGGGCAGAGGCAGAGGGACAAGCAGACTCCCCACTGAGTGAGGACCCCCCCCCACCAATGTGGGGCTCAATCCCAGTAAGCTGAGATCATGACCTGAGCTGAAGTCAGATGCTTAACTGACTGAGCCACCCAGGTGCCCCCAGAACCTTTTCAAAAAGTTTTTTTTTTCACTTGCAAAACTGAAACTCTGAACCATTATATACTAACTCCCCATTTCCCCCTACTCCCAACCTGTGGCAACTACCATTCTACTTTCTCCCTCTATGGATTTGACTACCTTATATAAGTGGAATCACACAATATTTGCCCTTTTGAGCCTGATTTCTTTCATTTAGCATCATGTCTTTAAGTTTCACTCATGTGGCAGCTCATATCTGAATCTCCCTCCTTTTTAAGAGTGAAAAATACTCTATTAGCTGTATATACCATATTTTGTTTATCTGTTCACCCATCAGTGGACTTTTGGCTGTTGTGAAATAATGCTGCTATGAACATGAGTGTTCAAACATCAACTCTGATTTTTATTGATTCTATTGTTTTTCTATTTTCTATTTTATCCCCACTCCAATCTTTATTAACCTGCTTGCATTGGATTTTCTTGCTCATCTTTAGTTTCTTAAGGTGGAAATTTAGGTTACTGATTTGAGTCTATATTCTTTTAAAATGTTGACATTTACAGCTATAACTTTCCCTAGATTTCTTGTTTTTTAATCTGTTTCCACATAAATACCTTTCCTGATGCCTAGACACAAAGTCCACTGGGAAGTTTGGGATGGAGAGGAAATGAGCAACATGAAGTTGCAACTTGTGTAGAGAATACAGAGAGGGCCAAACAATAAACAATTCTGTACTATGCAATAGCATATGTTCTTTACATCAGATAATGATATATCTTATACATGTAATATATATCTCATACATTGTATCACAGATAGATAGATCGATTGATCTTAGGTAGTTATTAGTCCAAGATAGCCAAAAATACTGCCTTAACTTTTTTGATATTTTGTGATCTACTTAAAAATATTTGATATTTATCTGGGGCACCTGGGTAGCTCAGTCAGTTAAGTGACTGACTCTTGATTTTGGCTCATGTCATGATCTCAGGGTTGTGAGATCAAGCCCCGTGTTGCGCTCCGTGCTGGGTGTGGAGCCTACTTAAGATTCTCTCTCTCCATCTCCCTCTGTCCTCCCACCTCCTCTCCCTCTAAAAAAATAAAAAAATAAAAAAAAATAAATTCACATTTATCTAGAAGTGTAATTCTGTATTTCTTAGTACAAAAGTCTTTATCACAGAAAAAATTAAACATGCAAGCCTGAGTAGACCTTGGCTTTCTAAGGAAGTAAATGTACTACCTATCTCATCTTAATGATATTTTAATTTGCTAAAGATTATTTAATGAAATCAGTTTTAATTCCAGCTACCCTGAGTATATCAAAGATAAAAACCCAATCTCAGCAATGTTTCAGCTTTTCAATTTTTTCTCCCAGCTAAGGTCAGTCAATCTATTGGTGTGTCTAGAATTACACACTTTTTTGGCAAGAAGTTAGACTTTCTGATTGTTACACTGAAGGTAAGTATTGGCTAATCATTTGAGCTGTTTGGCTGAATGACCACAAGAGTTACACAAAATCCTTGTCTGCAAAAACCTTAGAATAAAATTAACTTTAAACTGTTATCTTAAAATGTTTAAAAGGTAGCTGAGGGCAGGGGAGAAAAATGCTTGCTGTAATATTGTGACAAGTGTGCAGAGTATATGCTAAAACACTTCAGCAAACATTTGTCACGGGGACACAAGTGATTTCTAAGTTCAGGAGTTGTGTTGTGCTTTAGTAAAATAGATACACTGGGGATGAGAAGCTCCACTTGGCTGAAATTCTTCTCCACTCACTGACTGGTAAGACGAGCAGTTCAGAAGAAGCTTTGACGTGCGACTACCCCTGTAGTTGCATGTTTATGTTTCTAGAATTTATAAGATATAATATTGAAATGCTTTGAACAGAATTATGAAGTAATTTGCCAGTCTCCCTGCCCCATTCGTGTTGTTCTTATTCACTCTAGTATTTACACTGATTTGTTAGTCACAGATTACATTTTCCCCTCCACTCACCAACACCCCCCCGCCCACCTCTTGAAGAGAGGAGCCTCGATGTCTCATCGAATTTAGGCAAGTAGATTTTCAGTACTGATTTGCTTCTGTTTGCCAGAGTAGGAGAAATGGATTCCTCAGAAATAGACATTAATTGATCTTGGGCGTAAGCCCCAGAGGATGAATGGTTAGTAAATGAAAAATCTGAACTCCTTAATGTTAAATATCTTCCTCAAATAACCAGGCATTAGGTCAGAGATGACTCAGACTTAGGACTCAAGAGACCTCAGCTTGCAGTGAATCTTATTTACTTCAGAAAAATCAGGGAATTTGAGGACTAGTAGGAAAGTTAAAACAAACAGAAGAGAACGTGAGTATTTATCCAAATATTACTCGAGTATTTGGATAAATACTTGTTACCTTTAAACATGTATGTTCAAATATGAAGATCTCAGGATTATCATATTTTTGACTGCCACAAAATACACATATTTTTTAAATCTCCTGACCTTCATCATCTATTGAACAGAAGAAAGGTCCAAAGACAAGTTATTCAACTCTCAAGAAATCGGCAGGAGATGAGGTACCTAAATGTTCATTCCATCATTGATCAACTCTGTTTTCCTGAAAAGTATAAACTCTGATAGAAAGAAGGGGCAAATCCTAAGCTTTAAAGAATGTACTTCAATTTTGGTCCTGGGAGATATTAGCAACTCTAACTTACTTTTGAATGGTATGGATCAATTTCTATTGCAATGTATTTCAGAGCTTTATTTCCAAATAGATCTGGAAGATGACACTGAATACAAAAATCAACCAATAAAATCTCCAGCTAGCCTGCAAAAATGCAACCAGAGAGGAACTTGAGCCCTTTCTCTGAATCAGATTTAGTCTCCTTTCTTTCTAGAACCCTTGTGTCCCCACTGTGTGCCTCAGTCTCCCACCTAGTCTTTCTCCACCATCAGACCTGAAATAGGTCTTGTGTTCTTAATGTTACTCTGAGCGTTCATGAACATTAACACTCTAGTAACAGACTTAACAGCTCCCTTTATTACCTCACAGTGAATGAGGTGAGGATTTGCATTGAGACTGAGTATGTGTAAGTCTCTACCCCTAATCCAAACCACTGGTAAAACGGGCAGAGTCCTGCACAGCAGAAAGAGCTTAGATGGACCTGAATGCTGGCTCGGCCGCCTGCCAGCTCTGTGACTGTGTCCAAGTTACCTAAACTCTAAGCCTTGGATTCCTCATCTAGAAAAGGCAGATAATATTACCTACCTCAGAGGGATCTTGTGAGAATTAGAAATAGAATATGTAAAGCTTTGAGCACAGTGTCTAGAAATGCTCAGTACTATTTGTCATATATCAGCTTTTATGCTTTGTGCAAGTATCCAGTAAGACCAGTTGCTAAATTTGTTATATACATGTGAAATGAAAATGTATTCAACTCAGCATGAAAGGGAAATTTCTATAAAGAGGAAAAAGTGGCATTTTTAAGGATATGTATATATATATATATATATATATATATATACATATTTTAATTTTTCTAATAGCACAGCGATCTATCAAAACACTAGCTGATGGAGTTATTCTCCAGGTATTTCCTCTTTTTCTGATGATCCGTTTCCCCGGGTGAGCTAATTTTAAACTGCAAACCCAAATCATGGGGCTTCTTTTGGACATCACCTCTTTACTCGGTTGCTTTTGAGATCACTGCCTCCTACTGGCTTCTGCCTCATCCCCAGTCCTGACCCTGAATTCTAATTTCATCCTTTGCTTTATGCTTGACATATTGAAGAGCTTAGGCCCTTCCCACTGGCAGGTGGCTTTCTAGGCTGAACTCTGTTCAAAACTCAGTGCTATTTCCACATTCTCTAGAGTTTATACCTCTTCATTGCTCATGTTTCATAATGTTTCACACCATCTACAACTTCTTTGGAGTCCCATCTTCTGACCAGTCTCCAGTACAATTTCCAGATTCTCTATTTATTTGCTTGTGACAATTCTCCTTCAGGTCTAGCTTGCCAGTTGTTTGCAAGAATCAGTGAAGAGTACTTGAGAATTTGGGTTTACCAGGACCTCATTTTAGAATGCACAGGAATCTGAAATGGGATTTTATTCTATGTATAAGCTGACTTACTGAAAAAAAAAAAAGTGGGAAGGGCGGAGGGAGAGAATGATATATTATATTTATTAAGCGTTCATATATTTTCATTTTGATCTTTAGGTATGCACCAGCAGCTATCACAAGGCATATAAAAATGAACCAACTTTTTTTTTATTTTCAAAAAGCAGTAAAAACATTTATACAGGACATTATGAAGTTCCAATGCCATCATTAGGACCCAAATCCTGCAGTTTACCCGTGCAGAATTGTCACTAAAGGCCGGTCTGCCAACAGTCAGGAAAGCAGGATGAAAGTATTCCCTTGAGTGCTAGAATTCTCACAATACTACTACTACTAATTAAGGGACCCTTCCTTTAGCTGGATAATCCTGCATCAATAGGCAACACATTAATCCCAATGTAAACATGTGGTTTTCTGACATCGGTCTAGCAAACACAAAACCTGAGAACAATTTCTCAGTTATCCCACTATAGTGATTCTTACACTTTGCTTCTTTGCTGTGTGATCCTTATGTATTCTTTCCCATTCATCATCTTCCGTATCCTGGTCAAATGTTTCAGGGTATGCTGGTAATTTGTCTTTGGGGCATTCTTCGAAGTAAGTGCGAATGTATTTTCCCACAAACCACCCTTTGTACTCTTCAGGCATTTTGCATTCCAGGCCACTATAGTGGACGTTGTAGTGATGCTTTAACCAGTAGTAGAGGTAGTGGATATTGTAGTCACATCTCCAAGGGTTATCTCGGAGCCACAAGAGTTTCAAAAAATACAAGTCTTCTAATACTCCATAGTCAAAGTTTTGTAGACTGTTGTTGGATAAATCTAACTCTTCTAAATGTGTGAGTCCTAAAAAAGCAGCTAGAAACAGAAAATATTTATTAACGCAATGAATAGCTGGGTCACATCCAACTGTAGGGCATATTATCAGGACAAATACAAAAAAAATAAGAGACTTAATTCTGCTGGTTGTTCCAGGAAAGTGGTTGACATTCAGTAGGTGCTCAACACATATTTGTTAATGTAGAAAATACTTTCCTGGGACTGAATTGAGAAAAAAAGACTTACTACTGCTGGTAACAAGAGTTCATCTCATGTGTCAGCAAGGAAAACACACCAGGTAAACGAGTTTGAGAGGCCTTTCAGGAGATCTCAAGGATGGTAAAGGAATCCTTGCAATCATGGGAATTTCATAAATGATGAGGGAAAAATATCACTAGAAATAAACCCATTTTGCACTATTATCTATCTTTGTATTGTTTTCTCATTTCTCTCTAGTTTTCTTTACAGACTGTGCTCCCATTACAATGGAGTTATTGTTGTACCATTATTCACTACTTTAATAAATTTAACTTAGGCCATAGAATAACAAACATTTTAGTCTCTTTTAGAGGTAACTCTAAAACTCAATTGCATGGATACTTTTGATGGGTGTAAGCCCAGGGCCCCGGGACAAGGCATGCTTGTCTTACAACTCTTTGGTTCTCATGCAACAAGACAGGAGGCTCACCGCTTCCAGATTCTTCACACTGTGGCCTAGCTTTGTGGAGACTGGCTACCAATGACTGACCTCCACACTAACATGACGATTGCTTCAACTGGGAGAAGGATGACTCTGTTTTATTCTTACTCACTGTGAAATGAAAATTGCTTTTGACCTCACAACTTCAAGATACCCCCAGGTTTACGTCATCTATACGGGCTAAGGTGTAAGTGTAGCATAGTGTTGTTATTGTGGGAAAATTTTAAATTATCATTTCTTAATATTTTAAAAAGATGTTACTAACAATATGCCTTCGTAGCTCCAGAACATTCATTCTCAATTTTCACTTTCTACAATGTTAAAATCCTACTGTTCTATTAATGGTCTTAAATTACCAGTAAGAAAAGCGGAAGTAACAACTGAACTGAAAATATTTATGATATTAACACTGAATTATTAATAATATTAAAATAATTTTTATAGATAGGATTTTTCAAATTGAAGTAGCACCATGAAGGCATGTATGTTACAAATCTGATCAAAATTGCAGTAATTCTCAGTTCTTTCCAAATCCAGTGTGCTTATATAACGTCCCATCCTCATTTTTGCCAGAGGTTTTGCTTATTAGCAAATGGGGAGGAGATTTGAAGGAAGGGAAAGAGGATTAATCTGGATCTAGGATTAGATAAAATACATCTGGCTCTGGCTTGAGCACATTTTATCTTAATTTATGAGCTTGGTGCTTAGCAGATAGTTTCAAGTTATTTTAATTTTTTTTTAAGTTTTTAAAATTCTTTTTTTAAGACTTATTTATTTGAGAGAAAGAGAGTGAGAGAACATTACAGGGGCAGGGGGAGGGGCAGAGGGAGAAGCACACTCCCCCTGAGCAGGGAGCCCAATGCAGGGCTCCATCCAGGGACCCAGGGATCAAGACCTGAGCCGAAGGCAGACCTTTTTTAAAGTTTTATTTATTTTTTTAGTAATCTTTACACTCAATGTGGGGCTCAAACTCACGATCTGGGATCAAGAGTTGCACACTCCGCTGACTGAGCCAGCCAGGCACCCCTCAAGTTTATTCATTTTTTAAAGATTTTATTCGTTCATTTGAGAGAGAGAGAGCATGAGTGGCTGGGGGGGCAGGGAGAGGGAGAAGCAGGCTCTCTGCTGAGCATGGAGCAGGACCCGGGGCTCAGTCCCAGGACCCTGGGATCATGACCTGAGGCAAAGGCTGACACTTAACCGACTAAGCCACCCACGTGCCCTATTCCCTCAAGTTTTCTTTAAACAAGTCGTAAAAGTCTTGCCTTAAACAAGTTGGGACTTAATGGATAGCAAAGAAAATGCCAAATCTGAATTTCCCTTTAAAAATCACTATGTGTTTAACATATTACTGACCACATATTCTTATTTTTAAAATCTATTCTACAAAAAACACTTTTATTTGGACCAACTGAATAACTATTGCTTAGTAGTATATAATATTATAACCTTCATAAAGCAACATTTTGGTAAATACTTCTCTGAGTGCCAAACAAGTTCTAATTTAGGCAGCATGTTTAATTTAACCTTTTTATTATTTAGTTTTTAAAAAAACTAAAATTGCATTTACTACAAATGTTGTCAATAAGGAAAAAAAATCAAAGAATACCCATCACCCATTTAAAGGGCTATTCTGTGGAACTTACCAGGATCTATGAATTCAATGCCATTGCTGCTGAGGTTTAATTTTTTTTAGCTCATGAACATCTTCAAACTCCTTGGGTCGAAGCTGGTTGATTTTATTGTATGACAAGTCAAGTTTAACAATATCTGGAGGGATGTTCTTTGGAACTTTCTTCAGCTCTGAAAAATTAACATTCCGGTTATCGAGGTTTCCCCTGACCCCATATTCTCTGTCGCTCTTCCACCTGTGGTTGAAGAGTCGGCTCTTAAAGGGGAATGGAATTATCTAAAGCCAAAGAACATTGGTATGAACAAGACTTAGAATGTGCTAACTCCACCAAAGCCCTGTGGACCAGGTGCTTCACACGCAGAGGAATGGGTATCACTCCTTGCTGAGCTATTCAGAGAAGTGTCCTTGAGGTGGTGGCAAGAAATCAAGAAGATAGCAGGCATCAGGTAAGGCAGTGGGGCTCACTCCTGGCTGTCTGTTAGAAGCACCTGGGCAGCTTTAGGGAAAAAAAAAAAGCTAAAAGGAAATGAAGCCCATCACATCACTCTATGTGTATCCCCTCCCAATCCCTTCCCACCTGCTCTAGGGGTTTTCACTATTAACTCTTGCCTCTTTGTTGTATTTTCATTTCATCCCTCTCTTTCGATTCCTTCTGCCAACAAAAAAGCGCAGGTCTCTCCACCCTAAAAAAAGAACAAAAAGCTTTTGACCTTGATGGCCCTCAAGCTGCTCTCCTATTGCTCCTTTCGTTGGATGCTAAAATTTGAGAAAAGCGTAGTCTTGACTTGTTGCCTCTGCTTCCTCATCACCACATACTCCCTGAATCCTTGTGATTTAGTTTATACTCCACCACTCCTAGATGCCTGGATTCCTCAGGAACAACTATAACAGTATTATTGTTATTATTACTATAGAAAAAGCCTCTGGAAGAAGAGTCCAGGTTCTTTTTCACAGGTGAACAGGAAATCAGGGTTCACCTAATTTGTCTTTACTAGTTGTTTCTCTTTAAATCGTGCTTTTAAAAATATATAGTGTTTATGTTATATTTTAGTGTAGTATTTGTACTTTCTCTTTATCTTTAGCAAAATATTCTAAGGTTTTATTTAATTTTAAGTAGAGCAAGTGAAAACTTTGAAGAGACACATACCTGTTTCCACAAAAGAAAACGAGAAGCAGTAAAATGTCCAGATTAATTGACATCTGAGAAATAGCATGGCCCAACGGCTTTCTGAATAAAATTTGTTGAACTGGGTACAGTAAAATAAGCTTATAATATGTGGTATCCATTTATCCATAATGCCCTTTTTGGTACAGAATAATTGAATTGCTGATAATTTTTTCAAAATAGTAAAAAAAACAAAAAACAAAACAAAAAAAAACACTCCGGTATTTAGGACTTATCCCATAATATATTTTTCATAAAGACTCAGGCTTATTTTTTTCCCTCTTTTAATACACAGAATCCATGGTCCTAAATGGAATAGCATTGGTAGTTCGTTCTTTAGTATCCTCATTATTGCTAAATTTGCTTTCTCTTCTTGATGGGATCTCGGTATCTTGATATCTATGTGCAGGAACTATTCTAGGTGTTCTAACAAGTGACAAGAACACTATGGACTAAGTATTATTATTATTCTCATTTTACAGATGAGGAAACTGAGGCACAATTTTCCCATAGTCATAGCCCTAGGATTTAAACACACATGCTAGCTTCAGAATATATACTTCTATCCACTATGCTCTGTTGCCTGTTCCTGGGAACTTTCTGCCTCATTTATGCTGTTCCATCTGCCCTAGAATTCTTAAGACTGGCAAAGGGTAAAGTTGGAATTGGGGAACAACTGAGGTGGAGTCAGTATACTGGGGTGGCCATGAGACCTTCCTAGCTCTATATTTAAAATGACATCTCCCAGTTTTCAATTGGACATTAACATTAATACTACATTTACCTGCTTTTCCTCAATTGGTAAGTCATCACCATCAGACATAGTATACATTTTACTGATTGCTTTCATTTTTGTACCCTCCCCACCATAGAAGCTTCATGGTGGAGGCTTAGGACAATGCCTAATACATCCTAAATAAACAATGGTATGTGGCAGACAGCTTCTAAAATGGCACTCAATGTTCTTCTCTACTGATACATATGCCCTTGTGTCAACCCCTCCCCTTGAATATGGCCTGAACCTAGTGACTTGCTTCCAACAATAGAACGCAGCAAATGTGATGGGATGTCACTTCCACAATTAGGTTACAAGAAATTGTGACTTTCATTTTGCCAGCAGACTCTCTTCTGCTGACTTTGACGAAGTAAGCTGTCATGCTGGAGAGGCCTATGTGGCCAGAAATTAAGGGTGGCCTCTGGCAAACAGCCAGCAAGGAATTCAGACCCTCAGTCCAACAACCTTGAGGAACTGAATTCTGCCAATGGCCATATGAGCTTGGAAGAGGAGTCTTTCCCAGTTGAGCCTTCAGATGAGACCATAGGTATGAGTCCTGGTCAAAACACTGATTGCAGCTTTTTGAAAGACCTGGAAGCAGAGGACCCAGCTGGTCTGGTTTCCTGACCCACAGAAACTGTGAGATAATAAATGTGTGTTGTTTCAAGCCACTAAGTTTTGGGGTAATTTACCATAGTCAGCGACAGATAATACGTTGTAAATAATAAAAGCTAATTAAATGTTGAGTTTAACGATTTAAGAATACTAAGGACTCTTGTAATAAAAATGCTTTTAAAATAGGGAGTGATCTTATTTTTGTCTTTGGTAAGGCATTGTTCTGTTTGACCTAGAATTTTGTCTGCCAATATATTGAAAGGTTAAAGATTTTAAGACTTGAACTTATTATAATGTTGCAACAGTTAGGTAATCCTCCCTTTATGATCACCAAGACCCTAACCGGAGAGCTATATTCTCTCTCGGGTCCTACATGTAAACAAGGAGATGGAGATCCCAGTAATAATTAAAAACCATGGAGACAAATGAGGACAGATCAAAGAATTTTTTGACGTTAAATGTTTGGAATAGGCGCACCTGGGTGGCTCAGTCGTTAAGCGTCTGCATTCAGCTCAGGTCATGATCCCAGGATCCTGGGATCGAGTCCTACATCAGGCTCCCTGCTCGGCAGGAAGCCTGCTTCTCCCTCTCCCACTCCCCCTGCTTGTGTTCCTGCTCTCGCTATCTCTCTCTCTCTCTCTGTCAAATAAATAAAATCTTAAAAAAAAAATGTTTGGAATAATTATTGAAAATGTCTGTGGCATCTTCTTAGAAAGGTTTCAGAAGCAGAATAGAGTTTTATTTCACAATACTCAGGATCTCACCTCTTCTTAGTTTCTCCGCTGCTACCATATTGGTCTAAGCCACTATCAGCTCTTGTCTGGATCATCCCCAAAGTGTCCTAAGCCCATGTGATACAGTCAAAACATAGATCATGTCATTTTCCCAGATGGCTTCCAGTCCTCCAGATGGTAGAATCCTCCTGTTGTTCCCATCTCACTATGAAGAAAAGCCCAAGTCCTCATTAAGGTCCAATAAAGCCATTAAGGACTACAGGTCTTCCTTGCCACCATAGGCAGTATCTCCTAGGTTCTGGAAACCAGGCTGTTTATCAGGACTTGCTCGCTGAACCCACATCTGCTGTGTTGGACATGGGGTGGATGACAGAGACCTCCCAAGCAACCACTGTAGGACAAGCTGAAGTGGGTAAACCACAAATTAATAGGGAGAAAAAAATGTTCATGAGAACTCCCTGAAACCCAACTTAAGCAGTGTGACAGGCCTGTGGATGCTAGAAAGGGATTATGAATTGCAGAACCAACTTTGGCATTGTCAGCAGTAAGAACAGGGTAAAAATAGGATCCACAAGTAAAACCAGGAAATGCAACCCAAAGCCTTTACTGGAATGGCTTAGAAAAACAGGGAAAAATCTTATTTGTTGTACTGATGAATAAAAACAGTTCTTTAGTTCTTTTATCTTAAACTTGAATGAGAATTGCAAATATTGATGCTAAGTGTGTGTGTCTTTGATAAAGATTATATAAATACGAATCTCCCCAGGCCACAAGTCACATTTGGTCAATGCCCCCATTTCTAGACCAGGCACCATGGAGTTATTTGCTGCTACTTAAAATTCCTGGTGAACACTCAAAAAATACCTCATTTACTCTATTATCACCCTTGACAAACCTTACCCCTCCCCAACCAAAACCTGCTGAGTTTGAGGAGCAAACTGGAAAATTTTCTCCACAAAGTTTCCCATTTAGTGGGCTATCTTAGTTGTCAGCAATGTCAGGACTACTCTGAAGGCTCAGTAATAGCAGGCAAAGAGCCATAAATGACCCTGATTTTGCAAATAAAATCTTACTAATCATTGTTCAAACTAGCAGTGAAATTAACTTCAGAGACAGCTAAGAGCAATTTACCTGCATAATTCTCCCCGGCCCCAATCTTAGAAGTAAAATGACTCCTTAAAATTGTAAATTATTCTGGTAAATGTGAAGCTAAAAGGCAGTTTTCAACTCTCACTTTCATGGATTTTTGGCAAATCCATTTACCTCAATATGGCATAAACACGCCTTTCAACTAATCTCATATTCCCTTTGAAAGACTAAGTTTTGTCGGCCAAGTGCCTGTCCTCCAGTGAATAAAGCTATTATTTCTTTTTCTTGCTGTCCAACGTTTAAGGCAAAATTAGTGATCTTTGAGGTCTGTGTGGTCAAACTGGCACATATTGGGTACCCTACGCACACCATCTGACTCATCATCTGTCAGCCAGGAAAGGCACAACTCCTGAGTTAGGGGAATCTATATTTGAGTTTCCTGTGTGCTTCCTGTACATGGTATATTGTACAGAGCCTAAGAGGAGAGTCAGTACTGGGAGAAAGCAGCCAGAAAGCTTTTCTATATTTTTCTTGGTGAATAGATGTACCTAGAATCTTGAAGGAAGAAATGACATTGCATGGTGGTCAATGGCTTGGGGACTGCCTGTGTGACTTTAGAAGGGCAACTTAGCTTCTGTTTCCACCTTTATGAGGCTAATAGTAGTGCTCTTTGAAGGTTATGAGGAGTAAATTACATAATGCATGTAAACTACCATGTCTTAGGCACACGGAGCATTTAGTTGACAGCTAATTAATACCACTGCTAGTTCTACTCTTGCTAGCATGTTTTAGACTTCTTTAGATTCTACATAGTATCTAACACGTGGAACATAAGCAAAAGTATTACTACACTTTGGCAGGGATTCTTCATATTTGACATTTGGTATCTATTTATGGAATGGAATAAGGAAAATGACAGTAAATTAAATTCAGATTGTCATACTTGAATTCTAGCCATGATTTTTAATTCTATGTATTTTTATTTTTAAAGGTTGCTTAAATTATTGCTTTTGCAAGAACAAAGAAAGCAGCTCAGTTATTATCATCCGTCTAAAGCACATGGCCCTGTGCCAGGCAGTACCTGGGAGTACAGGAGGTTTAAGAGACAACACCATTGTCTTTAAACTTATGGGAATCAACAATCCCCCATGATGAAAAATAAACAATCAACTGAATCAATAGATTTATATCAACCATAGTGAAAGCAATTTATATTGATATTAAAAGACAAAACTACCCTTCATTTTGTAATCTAAAAGGTCTATGCTCTGATTTATGCAGTCATTAATGTTTGGAGGAACTTGAGTTGTCCTTTCATGGATGAGCCAGTATTATTATATATATAAAGTATGTATGCCATGAAACTTTACATTGTTTCCAGTAAATAATATGTGTATTTTAAAACAAGGGGCACTGTCTGCATCCCAAATTTATGGGACATATCTGGAAGGCTGTGTTTAGATAACAATAAGTTGAGGAAAGAAAAAAATAAAAAGTGTATCTGTTTTTATAAGTTGACGTTTGCCAAAAGAAAATGGGACAAAAATATCGTGGAAAATAAGACAAAGGCAGAAATAGGTTCATTGTGGAGGGAAATAGACCAAGAGCAGTACAGCAGTAAAAATGGAAGCTATTTCCCTTCACGTTATTTTTTTGTTGTTCTTTTTATTTTTTTTAAAGTAGGCTCCACACCCAGCGTGGAGCCCAACACGGGGCTTGAACTCACAACCCAGGGCTTGAATTCACAACCCTAAGATCGAGAGTCAATGCCTAACCGACTGAGCCACCCAGGTGCCTCCACGTTATCTATTCTTAAATTATAGTGTAATCTAGCTGTAGAAGTCTTCAATTTTGTGTTGGTGGCATTTTTCTCAGATAATCAATGAACCTAACTATACGTATTTTCTCTTTATCACCTGTTGTAGGAAGTGCAAATTAATTTTAGCTTGAGGAGAGAGCCTCGGCTATATCAAGTAATTTTTTTTAAGATTTTATTTATTTATTTGACAGAGAGAGACACAGTAAAGAGAAGGAACACAAGCAGGGGGAGTGGGAGAGGGAGAAGCAGGCTTCCCACCGAGCAGGGAGCCTGATGTGGGGCTCGATCCCAGGACCCCGGGATCATGACCTGAGCCGAAGGCAGACGCTTAACAACTGAGCCACCCAGGTGCCCCTATCAAGTAATTTTTCTAACCCAAGTCTAGGATTAGCAACTCTGGTATTAGTTTTTTTTAATTAAGTTTTTAATCTAAGCATCACAAAGTCACTCCTAGTAGCACATGCTTTTCAGCATGGAACACTAAGTACTCACTGTAACAACATCAGGGAAATTCTACCCAATCTGACTGCAGAGAAATGGCATAAACTGACTTTTCTGGAATTCTTTATGCTTCTATTGTTGAGGCAGCTTTTTGTTGCAACATGATCAGATTAAGGAAGATGGCAGGATCAGGCAGACCAAGGTTCCAATCTTCGCTTTGCTGCTTACCTGCGAGACCTCAACCAAATGACTGAACCTCCCTAAGCTTCATTTTTCCCAACTGTAAATGGGGATCCTACTACTTTCCTGGAAGCTGTGGACAGCATGTGTGTGGAGTACCTGGAGAACAGTAGGTGTTCTATGAGTGAGCACTTTCTCTCAAACTCAGAGGATCCTGGAAGGGCATCTCCCTGGTTATGATGCCATAATTGTTCTCCTATGGCAGCAGATGATATACATTTCACAGAGTGCTGTAGCAAGCACCCCTTTCCATGTCCCAAGGCCTTGGTGTGCTCTAACAAGGTGCCTCTCTGGAGTCTGAGAAGGAGGGCAAGGCTTGAGCACTTCCTTGCTGATAAATGAACAGATTTTCTCCTGGTTCAGGTTGCCTGCTTCTTCAGCGTCAACAAATTCCTGCCTGTGGTTCCCCTGAAAGGAGCCCGAGTTTCTGTGTTGCTCTTAACCTTCTCTTTTTGTTCTTAAAGAAACAAAACAAAGCAAAACCTCCTAAACTAAGTGGAAGGAATGACACCATGTTCTGATATGACCCTAACCCGATGACATCTAGCTTTAGTTGAATAGTGTGAATAAGTCATTAATCCATGCCAGAAATGAAACAGACACTGTCCAGGGCACCTGGGTGGCTCAGTCGTTAAGCGTCTGCCTTTGGCTCAGGCCCTGTTCCCAGGGTCCTGGGATTGAGTCCTGTGTCGGGCTCCCTGCTCGGCGGGAAGCCTGCTTCTCCCTCTCCCGCTCCCCCTGCTTGTGTTCCCTCTCTTGCTATATCTCTCTCTGTCAAATAAATAAATAAAATCTTAAAAAAGAAAGAAAGAAAGAAAGAAACAGAAACTGTCCTATGGCAGGTTATCCTAGGGTAGATTAGCAGTTCCCAGACCACACTTCAAGAACGTCTTCACTAACCCGTCAAGAGCATTGCTAAAATTTCCCATTTTCTTATTTCGCGAATTAATCCTGCATGTGCAGACCCTGCTCAGTGTCAGACCAAGACTCTGTGGGCTGTAAAACTCAGCAATGATTTTTTTTAGGAAGTAGGTAATATTCTGGAAAGATTTCCTTAGCCTCAGATTTCTTGGATTAACTACTTTCAACTTAGTTCTTTCAATATTTTTAGGTTTTAGTTTGGGAACAATGAAGATACAGGATATTAGCAAGCATTTATTAAAGCCTTGAGACCAGATTCTTAGCAGCACGGACACAAGGTCACTACCTCCCACGTGGCCTCCTCTACTGTCCCCCCAAATCACCAACCATGTTGAGTCTGAACCCTAGAAAAGCTTGGAGTAAATTCCATTGTCACTGGGGAAAGACCTCTGGTGGAACTGACACCAGGAATCCCAAGGCATGGTGGAGTGGAGGGAGGGTTCTCAGATTCAAAGAGCATTTTTAATCATCCATGAAAAGGAAAAACTAAGAAGCTTACAAACCTTTCCGTTTGCAGTCCAGCGTTTGTATGGGAAACACGTAATTGTAGCAAAGAGAGGAGTCCACCTCCGGCTTGATGACAGGGGGTCTCCCGGATACTTGGGGTCTCGGGTCTAACTGTTTGCTTTCTTCTTCATTGCATAACTGTTCAGATTTTATCTGCCGCAGTTTTTTGTTTTTCAGTTCTTGGGGACTTTCACACTTGGCGTAGTTCCCCAAATTCCGGTTTCTTGGAATTCGCAACATGGAAACAAGCGTTTCCATCTCACATGTACAGTGCCAGGGGTTGTCATAAAGACGCAGGTACCTCAGGAGAGGCGTATAAATGAACACTTCCTCCGTCAAGACTTTGATTTGGTTGTGCTGCAGGAGGAGAGTGGTCAGTTTATTTAAACCAAAGAAAGCCTCGCTCTCAATTTTGGAGATCTCATTCTGTTGCAGATCCAGGCTCTTCAGCCTTTTAAACTTGGAAAACATCTTGTTCTTCAATATGCGGATCTTGTTTCTTGCTAACAACATGTGCAGCAAATCCTGAGGCCAGTCAGGCAGCACGTAAACTAGTTTTCTTTCCTGGCAATCTAAGTATTTCTCGTAAAGATACGTGTAGACTTCGCAGGGGAGGCCTGGTGCGTAGCGTTTGACCGGGTTGGAGCCTCTCCTGCTCCCGCCCGCCCTGCCATGATTCGCTCTGCCTCTCGGGCCCCCCAGGCTTGCCTTGCGGAGCTCAGCGGCTTCACAAAAGAAGAGCAGAATTACCACGGTAACCACGCGCATCCTGACATCCAGCTGGTCCCAATTACTTGGTGTGACAGACGGAACAATGAAAATATTCCTCTGAAATCCAAGTTTGGGTAATCTTAACTAATGCAGTTCAGGAACGATGAGACCCAGCTGAGGCACGAGGGGAGTCTCTAGGTTGCAAGAGAGAAAAAGATATGAAGAACCATTGTGAGCATTGTGTTATTCACTGCAGCTTTAAAAAAATTCATTTTCTTTATATATATATTTTATTGTAGTATAATTGACATATAACATTATGTTAGTTTCAGTTGTATGATTGGATATTTAATAAGTTTTTTTTACGCAAAGACACTGCAATTAATAAAGGCACGTTCTGAACGGTGGTGTAGTGCACCCTCCCACCTGCCTGGTTTGGTGGCTAAACGTTTGGGCCCTGAGTTGGAATGAAGGCTCTCCTACTTGCTTAACTATGTGACCTCATGGGGCACCTGGGTGGTTCAGGCAGTGAAGCGTCCGCCTACGGCTCAGGTCATGTTCCCAGGGTCCTGGGATCGAGCCCCACATCCTGCCCCTTGCTCAGCAGGAAGTCCGCCTCTCCCTCTGCCTGCAGCTCCCCCTGCTTGTACACACACACACACACACACACACACACACACACACACACACAAACACACACGCTCTCTCTCTCTGACAAATAAATAAATAAAATCTAAACAAACAAAAAAACAACTATGTGACCTCAAGCTAGTTATTTAACCTCATCTTCAGTATCTGTAAAATGGGGCTGAGGATACCGTGTAGTGTTGTTGGGACAATGAAACAGGCTCATGCGCAGAAGACACTCATCAGCGCCAGGTCCCGGGGAAGTACTCCACAGTGTTAGGGCTTAGCATCAGGAAAACTGAAACATGTAATGTAACAGCACATTGGATTCAAGACATTAAAGGGATTCTTCTTACAGCCTTGAGACAAGCAAACAAACAAACAAACAAAAAAAAGAGTAGGTCTTCATGGCTGTCTTCCCCAGCTTATTTTTTTTCTTTCCTGGACTGTCTCCCAGTTAATCAGCCACATTGAATGTGAGATCCAGAAATGCTCAAAGTATACTGCCCTGTCCTTGTCAAGTCTTGCATATCTTGGCTCAGATGTCACCTCAGCAAAGCCTTCTCTGAGCACTCTATTTAAAGTGGCACCTTTTCCACTTGCTAGCCACTCTCTACTCCCTTTTTTATATTTTTCTCCATAGTACTTATCACGATCTGTCAAAGTAGATATTTTACTTCTTTTGTTTACCGTCAGTCTCCCCCATCTAGGATGGGAACTGCCCAAGGGCAGGGTTTTTCATCTTTTTTGTTCACTGCTGTATTTTTGGCACCTGTAGAGTTTCTGACATATAGCGGTTTCTTGATAAATACTTGTTGAATGCATGAATTACTTACTCTCACGTAACTATTCTATAAAAATATTAATATCAGTTTAGTTATTACATTGTTTTCAGAATCTATTTTCTTCCTTAACAGGTATTACTGATGACTTCTAAGATCTGCACATTGTAAAGAATTATTTTCATTTTTAAATTCTGAAAGTGATTTTGGTTTGCATTTATTACTTAGGACACTGTTCTTGGCAAATGAAGAAATGTTCACAATCGGTTATAATTAATAACATTTCTGTTGTTATTATTGTGGGGCTAAGTGGTTATGAGCAGCAGATATGTTTTCTATTCATTGTAGCAGTGTGAATGCCAGGATCACCCCTTTCCTGGAGTCTTCCTGTTTGATGGGCGTCTCCCCCACCTCGAATGACTTCCCCCTCTTTGCCTCACGCATTCCTCCCCTTTACTGTTTTGTGTCCTCTACCCTAGATATTTCTTTTCTGTCTCAGATTTGGAGTTTTACTTCCTGTCGGTCTAGACCTGGAGTGTGGACTGGGTAACACTCTGCTATCCAGATCTTTGTGTACATGTGTCATCTTCCCTGTGAGACCATCAGCTGTGCAGTTGCTTCTGGTCCCAGAGTTAGTCAGGCACTTGGCCTTTCTGATCCTCCACTCCTCTGTCTGCAATTCATTGTAAACTGTATGTAATCTCATTTAAACAAATCATAGGGGCGCCTGGGTGGCTCAGTCGTTAAGCGTCTGCCTTCGGCTCAGGTCATGATCCCAGGGTCCTGGGATCGAGCCCTGCATCGGGCTCCTTGCTCCGTGGGAAGCTTGCTTCTCCCTCTCCCACTCCCCCTGCTTGTGTTCCCTCTCTTGCTGTCTCTCTCTGTGTCAAATGAATAAATAAAATCTTTTAAAAAATCAGAAATATTTTATTAATTATTATACATGCTGAATTATTTCTAATATCCATGCTGACGTATGAGGGGGACATGTGCTGATGTCTGCAACTTACTTTAAAGTGCATAAAAAATAAGACGGATTGAAGGATAGATAGAAAGATGGATGTATAGATGCAAAGACAGTGGAATATAAATAGAATCTAGGTAGCAGGTATATGTGTCGTACCATTCTTCAAGTCTTTCAACTTTCCTGTTTGAAAATTTTTACAATAAAATGGTAAAACAAAACCCAAAAAAGTCATGCCATGAAAAAAGCAGGTTGGTTTTCTTCCCAGCTAAAAGCTCTAAGTATATGCTTTTTTTCCCCAAAGTAGTATTCTCCTTTTTTCCCCTTTCTTCTGTAATCCTCAGATGATAATAAACATGTGTATATATTTTAATTTTAAAGCCATAAGAAATTGGTTTGCTGGGAAAAGGAGCCATATACTTAGAACAAATTACTTGCCAAGGGTTTTGTTTGTTTTCTAATGAATACACTGCACTGAACGTAGGAAGGAAAATTTTAAGTTTAAACATTTGCGCTATGTTGTTTAGTGATGTTTAACTTGTTCGGTTTAGGCCTCTGTAGAAATCTGCAAGAGCTGAATGTCTCTGACTGCCCAACACTAACAGTGAGTATATGAAGCTTTAAAAATTTGACTCTTATTTATACAGATTCAGACTTGCTATATTGCAGTGCCAATACACAGAGATTTTGCCAAAATACATGCCTGTGTGCCTATTTAGGATCAAATGTGTAAAAAAGCAAATTATGTTAAACATTGGCAAGAAGTTTTATCCCATTTGTATAATGCTATTATTAATCCTGTAGCTATATGCCCAAGGTTGGAGTCTCTGGAAAGTGGAAACTATTCAACAATTACACAAAAATGAATGTATTTATATTTAGGGCCATGTGTGTATGAGACAGAAAAAAAATTGGGTCCCAGTAAAGACAATAGGCTCATTTTAGTGGTCTTCATGGCTACCAATTGTGTGCCAATGGAGACAGAAATGAACATATTACCCTGGGCAACTCCTTCCCGGTCCCTGTCAGGTTTTTTTACCCTGGTCAGGCTTTTCTTTTACTTCCAATCTGTCTTCCCCCGTGAGCACGTACACTTTCTAAGAGGCAGATCTGATCATTTCACTGCCATTTTCCATCATTTATACACACATTCGTGTGTCATCTACACTATTCGATAAAGTCAAAGCTCTTTAGCATCACTATGCCTTGGGAGACCCTCGGTGGTCTTGCCTCTGCCTCCTTTCCCAGCCTCTTCTTGCTCCAATTCCTGCACACACATTTAAGTTTCAGCAACCATACACTGCTACACTTTCTTTGCTGCATGAGCCAAGCTGCTCCTTGCTTGTTTTGCTTCTGCTCGGACTGTGCTCTTTGCATGGAATGCCCTTTTGCTTTGTCCTCAGGTGTTGCTTTCCTCTTTGTCAGGCTTTAAGGCTTACTTTAGGTACCACCTCCTTTACCAAGACATCCCTGTCCCCCAGGGCTGGGTTTGTTGCTGCTCCTCTGGGTCCCTATAACAAGTAGCCCTCATCAGAGCATTTCTGCCTCCTCCACTAGCCCAAGAGGCTCAAAGGGCAGGAGATGTGTCTTATTTTCTGTGGTAGTCCTAGCACACAGCACAGATATTGGCATAGTAAATAGTCTACAACATTAAGAATGAATGAAATTGTATGGAGATACTGAGTAGGTAATGGAGAGCATGGCATAGAACTTGAGATTCCATCTTGGGTTGACATTTTTGTATTCTTAATTACATCACAAAAGTGAATATGATCAACCTAGAGAGAGAAAGAAGGTATGAGAAAAGAACTTAGGATTGAACCTTGGGGATTGCTGACTTTTAAAAGTAGGTAGAGGAGAAGAGATAGCAAAGAATCTTAAGAAAAAACAGTAAGAGGGGGCGCCTGGGTGGCTCAGTTGGTTAAGCATTGGCCTTTGGCCCAGGTCATGATCCCGGGGTCCTAGGATCGTGCCTTGTATCAGGTTCCCTGCTCATTGGGGAGTCTGCCTCTCTCTCTCCTACCTGATTCTGCCCTCTCTTGCTATCTCTCTCTCTCAAATAAATAAATAAATAAAATCTTAAATAAAAAAAAGAAGAAACAGTAAGAGAAGTAGGGTGAAAACAGAAGAGCCTGATTTTGTCATGCTCTTCATTCAGCAGCAACTCCAGCATGACATCCACACCTCCCAGCGACGTCCTTCTGGTTCTTTCTTTCAAACTTCTGTTTCATTCTGTGGATATTTTTAGTACCTAATACATTAAAGATATATTTATCTTTATATAAAAAGATATATAGGGAATTTATATGCTATAAAATATAGGTGTTAGAGGGAACTGAAAATGAATCAAGTTTCAGTTCCTGCCCTCAGGGAGCTTCAGTTCTACACTTCAATAACAGATCACAGTCTTTAAATTTGGCTCTCTAATAGGAAACAAATGCCATCTGCATTGAATTTGTGAATATCAAAGTCTTTTCCAATTTTGGAGTCTAATACTAGACAGGGCTGATAATATTATACAGCCACACTTTACTATTGTTTTTCCCTTTGAAGCATAGACTGGGAGACAGGTTTACATTTAACGAGTTGAGTAACATTCATTCAAAAAGCTTTATTTCTAAGAAGCTTGCCTTATGAATATATTACATTCAGAAAGATTTGGGTGCATTGTGGACCAATTCAGA